CCTTCGCTGCGGCCTTTGAGTCATTCTTCACTCAACTAACCTGGTGAGAAGATATGAGTGTTGATGGAGAGCAGAGCAGTTAGGGCGACTGTTATTTGCGGACGACTGCATCGCTTTCGCACAGGACACTATGGAGCCTCAACAGAAGACCACCACACTGTCTCTCACAGTCGGTTTGGAGGTTGATCTCTTTAAGACTCAGTGGATGCGAACCGAGCACTGTCTTGAGGACTGTGTGAACGCGAGTGCTAAACAACCTCAAAAAGTCACCAGCCGTGTATCCCTCCGTCTAAATCAGCGAAAAAAGAGGGAGGCACGAACCTTAATCGGATTAAAATATCATTACTCGACGGTAAGCCGCCCATGTGGGCGAAAAATGCACTGTGCGAAACTTAACGATACCTTTGGCGTAATGTAGTACGAATACGATACGTAATATGGTGCGTATTCAGGAGAAAAAAGGTATACTCTGCCTCCACGCCACACGCCGATATCAAGCGTTGAACTGTTCATCGTCTGAACCTTTACATAAACGGTATCTCCTAGCTGCAGACGGTATATATCGTGGACAACTGCGGCATCGCACAGCCACTAATTGCAAAAGCATGTTCGTTTAGCGTTGCGTGCTTTGCCATAGCTGATGGAAATTACACTTGATTATTAATAGTAGAATTTTGAAAATTATTTATTCGATGCATGAAGCGAGAGATGCGCTGTGTTGCCACGTTACCAGCACCAAAGACACCATCAGGACTGAATGCATGAAAAGGTCAATTTGACATTTCGACGCAACGAGTATTAATAAAATAATTTTGTGTCACTCAATTTGTGAATTTAGATTTACCTTAACAGATTACTAACTACACCTTAGCAATGACTAATATTAAAGGATAAAATGTGTTCATCGCACGTATGACGTTTTCATTCCTATGTATGAACGAACGTTTCTATCATCTGCTTTATCCTGACGTTATCCCCGTTAATTAGCGAAACGCTGGCTTCGTTGAAGCCATGTCCATCTACAGTAACACAGGAAATGTAATATCCAAATATTCAGCATGAGAGTTGCAGACTGCGCACTGACATTCTCTAACCGTAATATTAAGCCGTCTGTACGCCATACGCTTGTAAATTCTGTCGCTATCGCTGAAGCTTATTTCCTAAACTACATTGAGTCTTTCAGCTGGGTTGCTCAGAATGGATTATCTAAAGAAATATTCCCGATTTCATCTTATTTTGTGATTGATCCAAATACCGATTTTCATAAAATATTTCTTGAGCTATTTTAAAACTTTGGGATGGAATAAATGGCAATTACAGTATCATTTTCTGGTATTTTGCTTAATTTAAGGTTTAGTTTTGATTAAGGATAGGATTTGGAGAATTTTTTCATATTTCTATCCCACTGAAGCAGAATTGCAACAAATATTCCAGATACACTTATGACGCAAGCCAAGCCTGTTGTGTAGTCGATAATCTGACTGGTAACTAAGTTAGAAAGGTTATCAGGTGATAAGTGACAACAGCTTAGACCTTTCTCAACTCAGTCTTTGGCCCCTATCTGAATTGGAACCCTCTGCTTTCTTCTTGTCTATCATTGTGCGCCACGCAAAAGACTATACAAACAGCAGAACAGCAGGGATAACACGTAACCGATTGTCACGTTGCATAAACGGCTATCAGCTGGGTGAAGGCGAACTGCGTTCGTATTGGGCGCTTGCATCAGAGAGAATGACCGCATCACCTCTTGCCCATTCTGGAATGGCTACACAAGAGCACCATGCTACCCATGTTTCTCACAAGTTGGCCACACTCTGCATGGTTTATGGCCTGTTGCATGGAAACAGCGTTGGGTAGATTCCTTGTCTAAATCAATCAATCAATTAGCGGTTTAGAAAAGTTTGGCTTCCTCGGGATTTAAAACCGGCACCCCCAGAGTTCGAAGCCGACCTCTTGGCCAATGTGCCACCGCGCTCCTGTAATGGCTGTCGCTAATGAGACGTGTAGAATAAAAGATTTTTCTTATTTTCTTTTGCATTTACATTTCACCCATTTGGGCTAAATCCGTAAACCACGAAATCCAATATTTAAATTGTATTGTATTTAACGGTATGACTCTTTTCCTATTTTTAGCTTCGTTTATTTACATCACTGTTTAATGGATAGAATTTTCATATGATTTATGTAAATAGATGCTTCATCTATAATTATTTTTATCCATTGTTGCTTTATGTAACTAAATTATCTTGCTAACTTTTGCAAACTAGTTTTCTCGTGTTGATGGTTTTGAACTTCGGTTGTTGTTGCTTTGTCCTCGTCGTCTGAAACAAACGGAACTTGAACATCAGAGTAACCCTCCTTTATAATATCCGACCGTTAGCAATTGCAGTTCAGATTGATATTAGGCAATGCTCGTTCTGCGGCAAAGGTCATACTTATCTTCACAAGCAGTTCTGCTTCACGTTGTTGCTGCCCAGCAACGCGTTGTCATCTGAACGTTTTTGAGTGACACATGAAACATCTACCTAAGGGTGTTATTTATGAGTTTCAGAAACCTCGTTTCTTCAGTCCAGCTTCGTTTAAGGCCTTAACATTTTCTTGATTTTGTTTTCTCTAGAAACGTCTAAAATCGCGTTTTTCTATCTTTAGTGCATCGGCGATACGTTTGCCAGCGAAGAAAAGTACAACAAGACGAGCAGCAGAAAAGTTCTGAGTCCGGAAGAGCAAGAAAGCGCTGAGTATTTGCAAACATTCTGGGACTTTAAGGTAAGATTTGTCCTCATATCGTTCGAACGGGTCGCACGGTAAAATCTGCCATTAATGATTGGGAAGAAATGGCTCTTGGCGTTGGTTTCTTTTCACTCTTCTAACAGTATTTTCTCCTCTCCTGTCGTACCTTTCTTCTCCTCCTCCGAGGTCCTGTTCAACATGCAACGGTTGGATTTTTAACATTAGCGAGTTCTTCCATGACATCTTCACATTTCGAGTCCCTGATATAGCTGGCAGGTCACTCGCATTCTGCATTATATCACTAAAGTATTGGAGGGATACGTAAATTAAACATACTTTTCCAAACACTATGAAGGATTCTTCTTTAAGAAATGCAGTCTGGTATTATGATATATACTAAACGGCTGAATGCAAAATTTTCTGATACTTTTCTTCGTTCTTCAGTTCAGTTGTGTCCTTTGTTGATGACGTCGTTCAGCGTCCCCCTGATCGATCTGCCGATTTCACGCTTACATCACACAATGCTATTTTGTTCAGATTGCCCGTTTCTTTCCCAATATGTAACGAAACTTGAGCGTTTCCCGTTCTCGCATATGCAAAGAATTCAAGCGTCGAATGTCTGGTTGTTTACAATTAATCTCGTTCAAGTGAACTCACGACAGTTTCCGCAGCTGCACTTGGTTTTATTACGGTAAGGACTTGCGTTCTGTCTGCTTGATAGCCTCAGTCCTCACATCCACGTGCTTTTCCTGAAACAAGCATTCACAACGCGTGTCATTGCCTCGTTGCTGCTACCTGCTTAGAGAGCAATTTAGACAGGTAACAACTGTGTAGTGTCTTAACAGCTGCTGTGCCGAATACACCTAGCAAAATTTTTTTAATATGATGGTACGTTGCTCATCACCAATAATGCTGTAGGAGCCCGCTTCTCAATGGGGTCTCGACAATATCATAAGTCATCGGCTCACAGTCGGAGCATACTAATAAATTCATAAATCATATCCTTCTCGTAAATCCTGCAAGTTTAAGTTTAAAATATGCATGAAAAATCATTTAATTGCCGAACCGTATCCGCGTCACACAACACCGGGTCGTTACTGGAGTAACACTGTGCAAACCAAACAACATGAAGTTATGAGAAATAGTTTGTGACATCTCAGTGATGACATCCGTTGTTACAATGATCCATTCATACAAATTGACTGATGGCACTCTAGATGTAACTCAGACTGAACGAGTTAGCGGATACGTTACATATTCGACTGTTTTCAGCCAATATGCATTATGATTCCTTTACAAATGACCTGACAATTTTTCGCATTTTGTCAACATCAGTGACATTCACTGAACTGACGGAGAGAATCACGTGTAAATTACAAGAAACGATGCCGTTTGCAGTAATGCCCTATCTTTCAGAGCTGCTAAATGTTCGCATCCCTTTATACAATCAGTGTATGGCTCTTCCAGTGTCAATCAATCAATTTTGTCACAGTCATTGCGATTGATTATGATTTTGGGAAAACTTTCATCATAATAAACTGTTCATTTGTAGTAGATTCCACAGTCTTCATTCTTAAGGCATTGCTAGATACTGCCAGAAGGTTTCAGAATAAATTTAAATAACTACATTATCAGTTATTCGCTATGCGACTTGTCCTCATTACAGATGTTCCATGAACGCAAATGGGCACTCCTCCAACATTCTTTTTGATGCCTTCTGCTTCCACCGCTGACCAATTACTTCGATCATGAGATTATCCCAGCATCTTCATAGTCGACTGACTCCACCTCGGTGCCCAGCGGAACTCAGTTGTAACTCTTTACGTCCAGTGGTTGTCACTCATGCGAGGCAAGTGACTGACCCACCTTCCCTTGGCGTTGTAAATGGCTGAAATTACCTAAGTCAGTGTAGCCCAATATCGAGTTTGTGCACTATGAGCGTGATCCCTGAGGGAGAACATGTATTTTCTTCTCTTCATCGCTCTCTGCATCATATCAGTTGTTTCCTTTCAGCCTTAGTAGCAGACCAACGTTCAACGCGTAGATCATGCCGATTAAGACTCTTGAATCGAACATGCAGAGTTCACCGTCGAGGAATGATGTTTCAATACGATTACATCTGGAATATGCCTCCCTTCCCTCTTCTGCTGATTTCCGTGTCTAGCGAGTTCATACAATCCACTGATGGTCAAGGCATGCACAACTTGTGACCTGTTCGCTTTAGTCACAATTTGCGAATACAGAGCTCGTTTCACATCCGTTTCGTCATGGAGAGTCTAACCTCAAACAACTGATTGTGATACAATCCTCCTGCAGTTCTGTTGTGTCTTGCGGACGATGTAACCGCCCGCAGCTAACAGGTGTGTTAGCTGCTCCCCATCAATACTGATGCATTTGCACCAGTTTGGACGATTGAAGAGTCAGCGAAGAGTGCTGGTGAGATAATACTTTCTTGACTCACTCCTCACGTAGTGATGCTACATGGTTTACTGAACAGCTTGATCAGTCATGCAACCAGAGTTCAATTCCTAGATCAAGCTGGCATAAACACGGTTTATGCCATGTTCATGCAAGGCGTTAAGCACAGCCGTCAATCCCATCGAATCGAATGCTTTGTTGTAGTCGATATAAGCAAAACACAGTGAAACTTGATCGTCTTTGCACGTCTCTGTCAGCTGCATGGCATG